GGTTTTTCACCAGATACCATCTGGTTCTTCACCAGGTTATTAAGTAAAAGCGATGTTCTCATCAATCACATTGCCAAGGCTGTAAATCTTTATGGAAGCATATTACCACATCTTTCTCCCAAGGAGCGGCTGATGGGTTCGAACCACCCACTTTTCAGTTAGCAGCCGAACGTTTTAACCACTGCACCACGAAGACTCCTTATAATATATTATAGTTTATAATAATAGTAATATAATCATAGTTATATAATAATAATATAATAGCTATAATTATAATAGTTTATAATATAAAGTATAACTATTATTAATTACTAATTATTATTACTAATCAAACACTTGTCTGTCAGTTTGTTGTACTGTGGTGGCTTCTGTGTGGCTGTGATGCTGGAAGCTATGCCACCAGTATTTCAAATACCAGCAGGGTCACCCATGGTGAACAGGCTGCAGTGGAGCTTCCAGACTAAGGTAAACTAGGAAGAAAGATATGGCGATCTACTTCTGAAAAAAATGGCCAGTGAAAACCTTAAGAATAGCAGTGGAACACTGTCTGATACCATGCCGGAAGGTGAGACCTTCAGGTTGGAAGGCATTCAAAATATGACTAGGGAAGAGCTGCCTCCTCAAAGTAGGGTAGACCTTAATGAAGTAGATGGAATAAAGCTTTTGAGACTTTCATTTGCTGATGTGGCACGACTCAAAATGTGAAGAAACAGCTGAAAACATCCATTAATAATTGGGATGTGGAATATATGAAGTATGAATCAAGAAAAATTAGAAATTGTCAAAAATGATATGGAATGCTTGAAGATTGATATCCTAGGAATTAGTGAGCTGAAATAGACTGGTATTGGCCATTTTGAATTGGACAATCATATAGTCTACTATGCTGGGAATGACAAATTGAAGAGGAATGGCGTTGCATTTATTGTCAAAAAGAACATTTCAAGACCTATCATGAAATACAATACTGTCAGTGATAGGATAATATCCATACGAGAAGGAAGACCAGTTAATACGACTATCATTCAAACTTTCACACCAATCACTAATAACAAAGATGAAGAAATTGAATATTTTTACCAACTTCTGTAATCTGAAATTGATCAAACATGCAATCAAGATGCATTGATAATTACTGGTGATTGGAATGTGAAAGTTGGAAACAAAGAAGAAGGATAAACCCCCCCCAAAATAAAACCCAAACCCACTGCTGTTGAGAAGGATCAGTAGTTGGAGATACTGTCTCGATGATAGAAATGACACAGGAAATCACATGACAGAATTTTGCAAGACCAATAACTTATTCATTGGAAATACCTTTTTTTTTAACAACTTAAATGGCAACTATACATGTGGACCTTGCCAGATGGAATACACAGGAATCAAATCGACTACATCTGTGAAAAGAGACGATGGAGAAGCTCAACATCATCAGTCAGAACAAGGCCAGGGGCTGACTGTGGAACAGACCATCAATTGCTCATATGCAAGTTCAAGTTGAAGCTGAATAAAATTAGAACAAGTCCATGAGAGCCAAAGTACAACCTTGAGTATATCCCCCCTGAATTTAGAGACCATCTCAAGAACAGATTTGATGCACTGAACCCTAATGACCGAAAACCAGACGAGTTGTGAGATGGCATCAAGGACATTGTCTTGGTCATCTAGTGCTGCTATAACAGAATACCACAAGTGGATGGCTTTAACAAAGAGAAGTTTGTTCTCTCACAGTCTGGTAGGCTACAAGACGAAATTTAGGGCATCAGCTCCAGGGGAATGCTTTTTCTGTTGGCTCTGGAGGAAGGTCCGTTGTCATCAATCTTCCCTCGGTCTGGGAGCTTCTCTGTGCAGGAACCTCAGGTCCAAAGGACACACTCTGCTCCCAGCACTTCTTTCTTGGTGGTATGAAGTTCCCCAACTCTCCATTTGCTTCCCTTTCCTCTTTATCTTTTGAGAGATAAAAGGTGGTACAACCCACACCCCAGGGAAACTCCCTTTACATTGGATCAGGGATGAGACCTGGGTAAGGGTGGTGTTACAATCCCACTCTAATCCTCTTTAACATAAAATGACAGTCACAAAATGGAGGACAACCACACAATTCTGGGAATCATGACCCAGACAAATTGATACACACACTTCCTGGGGGACATAATTCAATCCATGACAGACATCATACATGAAGAAAGCAAAGGTCATTAAAGAGACAGGAAAGAAAGAAAAGACCAAAATGGATGTCAGAAGAAATGCTGAAACTTGCTCTTGAACATAGAGTAGCTGAAATGAAAGGAAGAAATGATGAAGTAAAAGAACTGAACAGAAACTTTCAAAGGGCAACTTGAGAAGACAAAGTAAAGTATTATAAAGAAATGTGAGACCTGGAGTTAGAAAACCAAAAGAGAACAAAATGCTCAACATTTTTTAAGCTAAAAGAACTGAAAAAAAAAAAAAAAAATCCAAGCCTTAAGTTGCAATTTTGAAGGATTCTGTGGGCAAAATACTGAACGATGCAGGAAGTATCAAAAAAAGATGCAAGAAACACACAGTCATTTTACCAAAAAGAATTGGTTGACATTCAGCCTTTTTAGGAGGTAGCATATGAACAAGAACCAATGGCTCTGAAGGAAAAAGTTCAAGCTGCACTGAAGGCATTGGCAAAAACCAAGGCTCCAGGAATTGATGGAATACCAATTGAGATATTTCAACAAATGGATGCAACGCTGGAAGTGCTCACTCATCTATGCAAGAAATTTGGAAGACAGATACCTGGCCAACCGACTGGAAGAAATCCACATACATGTCTATTCCAAAGAAAGGTGATCCAACAGAATGTGGACATTATTGAACAATATCATTAATGTCACACACAAGTAAAATTATGCTGAAGATATTTCAAAAATGATTGTAGCAGTACATGGACAGGGAACTGCCAGAAATTCAAGCTGGATTCAGAAGAGGACATGGAATGAGGAATATCATTGCTGATGTCAGATGGATCTTGGATGAAAGCAGAGAATACTAGAAAGATGTTTACCTGTGTTTTATTGAGTATGTAAAGGCATTTGACTGTATGGATCCTAACAAATTATGGATAACATTGGGAAGAATGAGATTTCCAGAATACTTAATTGTGCCCATTTGAAAACTGTACATAGACCAAGAGGCAGTTGCTGAAATAGAACAAGGGTATACTGCATGGTTTAAAATCAGGAAAAGTGTGCATCACAGTTGTATCCTTTCACCATACCTATTCAACCTGTATGCTGAGCAGATAATCTAAGAAGCTGGATTATATGAATAAGAACACAACATCAGGACTGGAGGAAGACTCATTAATGACCTTTGATATGCTGATGACATAACATTGCTTGCTGAAAGTGAAGAGGACTTGAAGCACTTACTGATGAAAGATCAAAGACTATAGCCTTCTGTACGGATTACACCTCAACATAAAGAAAACAAAAATCCTCACAACTGGACAATTAAGCAACATCATGATAAATGGAGAAAATATTGAAGTCATTAAGGATTTCATTTTACTTGGATCCACAATCAGTGCCAATGGAAGCAGCAGTCAGGAGGTCAAATGACGCATTGCATTGGGCAAATCTGCTGCAAAAGAACTCTTTGAAGTGTTGAAAAGCAAAGATGTCACTTTGAGGACTAAGATGCACCTGACCCAAGCCATGATATTTTCAATTACCTCATATGCATGTAAAAGCTGGACAATGAATAAGGAAGACCAAAGAAGAATTGATGCCTTTGAATTATGGTGTTGGCGGAAAATGTTCAATATACCACGCACGATGAACAAATCTGTCTTGGAAGAAGTACAGTCAGAATGCTCCTTAGGAGCAAGGATGTCAAGACTTTGTCTTATGTACTTTGGACATGATATCAGGAGGGACCAATCTCTGGAGAAGGACATCATGCTTGGTGAAGTAGAGGGTCAGCAAAAAAGAAGGAGAGCCTCAATGAGATTGATTGTCACAGTGGCTGCAACAGTGGGCTGAAACATAGCAATGATTGTGAGGATGGTGCAGGACCAGGCAGGGTTTCATTCTGTTGTGTATATAGGATTGTTATGAGTTGGGAAGACCTTGACGCCACCTAATGACAATAATTGTCGCTAATAATCTGTTAGTTGTAACAGTGCCTTAAGCCAGGATTATTCTTGAATAAATTTCACACCTGTTGGGGACAATACCTTTTAACATCCATGTTCCCACCTCCTCTAGACTGCATATTTTTAGGTTTTCTGTAATGCCACACTGCTGTTTTTCATTTTAAATCCAGTCTGGCTTTCCCCCTTAAAGCCACAGGACTTTTAAAGTGAGTGGCTGGTAGTATAACTGGCACATATATCGAATCTCTTTAGTCTGGGCTGTTAAGTAAGTTTAATTAATTTACTAAGTTAATGTTCCACTGCTAGCAACAGAGCCTCATTGCCGTCAGCCGGGGAGAGGGAATTGAAAGCCTAAATGAGCTCATTTTTTCACAGTTGGAATTAGGGACCAGTTAGCCAGTTGTGTGGGTTTTCCAATTTCTCCGTCTGCCCTGGGGGGATTCAGAAAATTCACTCCCCCAGCACAAAGTGTGAGTAAGAGCAGGAAGAGGGAAGGGGAAAGAAAGAAAGGCGGGGGCAGGGGGAACTCTCCCCAACCTTTGCTTCCATTTTTGGAACTGGAATCATCGTCTGGGTTTTGCTTGTTAAGTTGGGCTTGGAGGAGCTTTTGCTAATGTTCCTAATAGATTTGGAAAAGAGAAAGGCCTCAGTGAAAGATATTTACCACGTATGTTTTCATTGCAGGGTGTGCAGATAAAGAGAAAACAAATAAACAATAAAAGAATGGAAACAAAATTACAGAAATTTGCAAAATTTGACAAATGGTGGCCTGTAGTTGCCACAAGCTAATGGCTTGCAATGATTAATAAGAGTAAAAATAATTGCATTTCATTAAGATTGATGACACCCCATTTAACCTCCCCTCTCGTTTCAGCCCTAAAGTGGAAAGAGATGAAGTTCTCATCTATAATAGCTCCTGTAACATTACCATGGAAACTGAGGCAGAGATGGAGTGTGAGACGCCTAATCAGCCAATTACCGCCAAGATTACTGAGATATGGAAAAGCCGGGGCCAGAACACTCAGGTATAATCAAATCTTTTTTACAGACTGATTCAAACAGCTCAAATTAAATTTGTAATATTGTGTACATTAAAAAAACAATTTAGCCTAAATGGCAGCGATATATAATATTAAATGCTCTCAAACTTTGAGGAGCTGGTCTAATGCACAACATCTAAATTCAGAGTTTTAACTATGGTTAATCATATATTTTCTCAAAAATAAATGAGCACTGCCTGTCCTCTTTTAGAGCAAATTCTGAACAGATAATCTCCTCAGCTTTTTGTCCTGTTTTCTGTGTGCATGTTCGAAAGAGGCTCTCTGTGGTTTATTTCTTCATGAAATAAATGGCCTACAATTTAACCAGACCCATTTCAATTGGAAGACTTCCATATCACTCAGCCATCTTCAGCATGGTGGGACGGCTGTATTTGCTGGTCCGACCGGTTCATTTCTGTTCCACGGGGAGGCAGAGTGGCAAGTACAGTTTCTGAGGGAATTATATGGGAATGGAGACTGTAAAGGACCTTAGGGTCATTTTGTCCAGCCCCTCAATTCTTCAGTTTTCAAATTGTCTACACCACTCCCTCCAAGTGGCTCATCTAAGAATGTGTTCTTAAAATTCCCCAGTGAGAGATTCCACAGCCTCCTTAGGGAATTTGCCAGAATTGAAATCAGAGGCTGAAGGCTCTTTGGAATGTAGCCGATAATCTTTTACAACTCCCCAGGCTTCTTACTGTACACAGATAAAAAATAATATTTATTGAGCATCTACTCCCTTGGGTGTATTTCTCTTTATGAAAGCAATTCCCAGATTTTCTTCTCTTTGTCTGTTTTATTTGGAACAAACATTTATTGAGTGCCTATTATGTGCCCCACCCTACACCAGATTCTCTGATGAATGCTGCTTCAGTTACTAAACCTTCCCAATCCAAAACGATACTTCCTGGGTTGGCAATGCATGCTTTTCTACAGCTTCTGGACTGGTGCTGAAAAATGCATGCAATTACAAAGGCATGATTTTCCTGTCCTTCCTAGGCGTTGCCTATCTATCTTCCCCACCCTTCTGGGGCCTTGCTGTCCATTCTTTCACCTGTCCAAGCTCATCACCCTCCTGTACCTTCCGTTCCTGTGGCTGCCCAAGACTGTCACTTCTGGCTTCATTGTTTCCCCAGGATAGGCCTCTTCCTTTCAATTCACTGCCAATTTTAATTCTTCATCCCTGACACCACTCTCTTCTAGTTGCAGCCTCCACCTCCCTTCTGTGCCCCTTTCTCAGCAGCCGGCTGTCAGTGATGTCCCTACTGTAATGAGGTGGGACTGCTGAATCAGTGCTGTATTGTGGAAAGAGACGTGTGGTCAGACAACCTGCACTCCTAGCTGTGTGACACTGAGCAGTCTTTAAACCTTTCTGGGCCTTAGTTTCTACCTGGGTGATAACATGGCATTGCTGGGATGGTCCCATGAGCAAATGTTCATGGAAGGGATAGAGAGGCCGGTGAGCACAGTGGTTCAATGTGTGATCTTTGGAGCTAGACTGCCTGGGTTTAAAAACATTGCTTGCTATCTGGAGGATCTAAGCAAGTTATTTAATCTCTCTGTGCTTCAGTTTTCTCGTCTATAAAGTGGGAATAATAATAAAAACCGAAAAACCCAAACCCATTTCTTTTGAGTTGATTCCGACTCCTAGCGACCCTATAGAACAGAGTAGAACTTCCCCATAGGGTTTCCAAGGAGTGGCTGGTGGATT